CTGAGCCCCATCACCCTCCCCTGGCCGGCTGTGGGAGCCCCGCTCTGCTCTCTGCTGCGACACTTGCCCAGTCAGTGCCTTCCCCGTCCGAGCAGATCGGCAGGCTCCCGCCTCAGGGGCTCTGCACCGCTGTGCCTTCTGCCTGGAACACTCCTCCGCCAGATGCCCTGTGGCCGGCCCTCTCTCCTCCTCCCTGTCTCTGCTCGCATGTCAGCTCCTCAATACCGCCCACCCTGCCACCCCATTAAATATTGCAACCCCTGCCTGGCATTCCCATCACCTGCCCCCACCCTGAGAGGTGGTGGTGATGGTGGTGGTTGTTTTGCTAAATCGCTTTTCATATTTTCTGTAATTTACTTGTTATTCTAACTGCTTGCTTTCTGCTTCTCCTGCTAGAACATCAGTCCCAGGAAGGCAGGGACCTCGGCCCGTTTTGCTCACTGCTGTGTTTGTAGGATGGGGTCCAAGCCCACGGTAGCTGCTCCGTAAATTCTCACCGTGTGAATAAACGCTGGGAAAGGGAGGGAGGGCGTGGGCCAAGGACAGAAAGTGGAGCAATCTGGAAAGGCCTCAAATGCCAGCTCTTAGGGAGGGACCCGCATGAGTTTAGGGTTCCAGGTGCTCAGGAGGGGGCTGACCAGGACGAGAGTGGACATGGGCCCTCGGGAAACCACCAGGAGCCTGGGCTGCAGCCTTACCCAACGATGTCCACCAGGGCAGTGAGGAAGGGCTTCACCTCGTAGCTGAGGCCGTGCTTGGCACACAGCGCCTTGACCAGCGGGGCCACCCTGCGGTAGTTGTGTCTCGGCATCGTGGGGAAGAGGCTGGGGGTAGGGGAGCACATGCTGGTACCTGAGGTGGGCAAAAACTGCCCACTGCCTCTCCCAGGGGGCCTCCTGCCAGTCCAGGGCTCTTGTCTTGGCTTCTGGGAAAAACTAGAAAGGGACTCGGAGTCCAGCCCATGGGCTCAGGCCTCACTCCCCACCTGCTGGGCCCCCAGCACTCACTGGTGCTCAATCTGGAAGTTGAGGTGGCCACTGAACCAGTCATTGAAGAGTGAGGGCTCCACATTGCAGGTGGCTGCCAGCTGTCAGGAGTGGGCAAGGCACAGCTGAGGGGCTGGCACGGAGCCCTGACCCCGCAGCATCCTCCCACACCTGGCAGCCCCAGCAGGGGCCCCATCCCTCCTTGCCCCCACCGCCCACCTGAGAGCTGGCCCAGTCCCGGTGCTTCTCTCGGCCGATCTCCTTGGGAATATGGTTCATCTGTGTGATCCACACGAACCAGTGGCTCTCCAGAACCCTGTGGAAGGAGGCTTGGGCACTGCCCCATGTCCAGCTCACCACTTAGGCACCGCAGGTGGAGGCTGGAGTGCGGCTGTCCCCCAAACCTGGGCCTCAGCTTCCTCATCTGTACAATGGGACTGTGGCCATTGCTCCCTCACTGGTGTATAAAGAAGCTAAATGGAGTGGTGTCCAGTGTGAGGCTGGGCCCTGAGCAGCCCTGCTCATGAGGGTGGACACCCCCAGCAATCTAGGAGGCAGTACTGCTGTCCCCATTCTGCAGATGGGGAAATGAAGGCTGGGAGCAGGGGATGCTGTGGTCAGATCATTGCGACTGTATGTGACCTCCGCCCTCCATGCCACTCCAAATCTGGCCATACCTGACAGCAACAAAGAGGAGCAGCACCCCAGTGACACCGTAGAAAGGGACGTAGGACAAGAAGAAGCGGGCGTAGAAGCTGGCAGCCCAGAGCAAGTCCTACAGAGGAGGGCAGAGGTGAGACTGAGTGGCCTCTGGGTGGCTGGGGTCTGGAGGCCTGATAGGTGGGTGGGATGGGGAGCTGGGGTCATCCACCCCTTCTGCCTGATTTGCCTTGGAGTCGTGGACAGGCCACCACCTCTCCCTGGGCCTCAGTTTTCTCAGCTGGATAAAGAAAGGAACAGGGTCCCTGCCCTGCCAGCTCACAGGGCTGACTTTGGAAGTGAAGGTACCATGGAGGGTGCTGGGGGGAGCCCCTGCCTGGGACACATATGGCCAGCAGAGTTGGTCTGGTGATTCCCCTCCAGGGGGGACACCTCTACAGAGAGAGAGACTCCACCTTTTCTCCCCATGCACACTTGCACTCGACCTGGGCCTCAGCTTCCTCATCTGTACAATGGGACTGTGGCCATTGCTCCCTCACTGGTGTATAAAGAAGCTAAATGGAGTGATGTCCACTGTGAGGCTGGGCCCTGAGCAGCCCTGCTCATGAGGGTGGACACCCCCAGCAATCTAGGAGGCAGTACTGCTGTCCCCATTCTGCAGATGGGGAAATGAAGGCTGGGAGCAGGGGATGCTGTGGTCAGATCATTGCGACTGTATGTGACCTCCGCCCTCCATGCCACTCCAAATCTGGCCATACCTGACAGCAACAAAGAGGAGCAGCACCCCAGTGACACCGTAGAAAGGGACGTAGGACAAGAAGAAGCGGGCGTAGAAGCTGGCAGCCCAGAGCAAGTCCTACAGAGGAGGGCAGAGGTGAGACTGAGTGGCCTCTGGGTGGCTGGGGTCTGGAGGCCTGATAGGTGGGTGGGATGGGGAGCTGGGGTCATCCACCCCTTCTGCCTGATTTGCCTTGGAGTCGTGGACAGGCCACCACCTCTCCCTGGGCCTCAGTTTTCTCAGCTGGATAAAGAAAGGAACAGGGTCCCTGCCCTGCCAGCTCACAGGGCTGACTTTGGAAGTGAAGGTACCATGGAGGGTGCTGGGGGGAGCCCCTGCCTGGGACACATATGGCCAGCAGAGTTGGTCTGGTGATTCCCCTCCAGGGGGGACACCTCTACAGAGAGAGAGACTCCACCTTTTCTCCCCATGCACACTTGCACTCCCCCATGCACACACACAGACAGTCATGTGCACACTTGGTCTCCTTAGCACACATGTACACAGTCACGTGCATGCTTGCACTCACCCTGCACACACACACACTCACACAGTCACATGCATGCTGGGTCTCCCCCTGCCCACATGTACACAGTCACGTGCATGCTTGTGCCCGCCCTGCACACACACACGTAGAGTCATGTGCACACTTGGTTTCCCCTGAGCACACACAGTCACGTGCATGCTTGTGCTCCCCCTGCACACACACACGAACACAGTCACATGCACACTCACTCTCCCCCATGTGCATGTGTGACATACACACACACGTGAACCAGACCATTGCTTGTGCACCCTGTTTATATTTGTGGATGGAGGCTGTCCCCTGAAGTCCCACTCCTGCCACCACATCAGTATGCCTGGGGTCCTGCGCACTCACTGTCCACTGCAGGCACACCAGCATGTACGCCAGATTTTCCACCTCAAAGTTCACCAGGGTAAGAAGCGGCGGGCCAACTGCAAGAAGGGGGCAGGAGAGAGTTCAGGCAGGGTGGGAGGCAGCAGCACTCACTGTCCACTGCAGGCACACCAGCATGTACGCCAGATTTTCCACCTCAAAGTTCACCAGGGTGAGAAGCGGCGGGCCAACTGCAAGAAGGGGGCAGGAGAGAGTTCAGGCAGGGTGGGAGGCAGCGTGGGGGAGTGGGGCTGTTACTCCAAGAACACCCATGGGACACTGGTGCTGGTCCCTTCCAGCTGGGATGACCCCATGTCACCCACAAGGCCTGGTCCATACTTGTTCCTTCTGAGTTGGAGCCTCACCAGGGTGGCCCTTGCCCTGTGGCTTTTGCCTCTTGTGTCCCTTCTGCTGCAGGTCAGGGGCCAGCCTCGGATCTTCACCCTGTCCGCCCCAGTAATTGCCCAAACACTCTAGGACTCCCTGATGTGAGGGCAGGAAGGAGATCTAATTGGGCCTGAGAAAGATCTGGCAAGGCTGTGTCTGCTCTGCATGGGGCCAGAAGGCACCCCCGGCAGGCGCTGGGAGGGTGGGCGCGCAGAGCAGAGGCTGGAGAGGCCTGCTGGCTGCCCCGGTGAGGGAGGTTAACGGGTAGGCCTCTGCTCCCCTGGGCTGGGAGTGGCTCAGGACGGTGGAGAGAACAGTGCAGGCTCAGGCACGCCCCCCGACCCCAGGAGGGCCAGTGGACACTCACTCAGGAAGAAGTACAGGTGCTGGTGGTTGTAGGGTAAGTATCTGCGCTTCTTCTTGCCATACTGTGGAGACAGGCGGCGGCTGGGGTGAGCAGCTCTCCAGGCCCTCCTTCTCCCAGGCAAGGTCAGGGGGCTGGCTGGAGCCAAGGGTCAAAGGCAACTCTAGATTCTAGCAACTGGGCCCCACATCCCCAGCAGGCTGGGAGGTCGGGAGGGAATCCCACTGGGGCAGGGGCTCAGCCTGGAGCTAGAGTGGGGGGCTCAGTCACTGCTGGTCCCCCCTCAGCTGCAAGCCTAGCCTCAGGGCACCCACGTCCCTCCTCACCCACCTCCACAGACGATTCCCCCAGGAGGAAGACGGGTGCCACAGTCACGTCTGGGTCTTTGTGGAAGATGTTGGGCTTGGCATGGTGCTGGAAGTGGCGGAAATTCCACCAGTGGGCAGAGAAGCCCTGTGGGGGAGGAGGAGGCTCTCAGGGGTAGGATTGGGCTGTGCCCACCACTCTGTGCCCACACACTGGGGCAGACCCAGTGGTGTACCCCAAACTCAGTGCCTGGCTGCCCACCCTCACCTTCAGCTGCCCCATCACAAACTGCTGGGCTACGTGGTTCCACCGGGACTTCCTGAAGATAGAGGCATGGCCCAGGTCATGCTGCAGACACCAGCTCTGGGCCTGCAGGGAGAAGCAGGGTCAGGAGTCAGTGGGAGGGAGCCTTGACAGGGATGGAACTCGCTGGTGCCTGCTCCAGCCAGGGAGGAGGGTGCTGGCCACCTGGAGCCCAGCCCTGGAGCACCAGTGCACCCTTCCAGCTCGCAGGGTATGCCAACAGCTCATGCCCCATTTCAAGACCCTTGTGGGTCAGCATCCTCTTTCTGCAGATGAGAACAACTGACTTTCAGGGTGGTGGAGGGGCTTTGCAAGTCTGTCGTGGAACTGTGGTCAGCAGCCCTGTGCTGGCTCAGGATTTAGTAAATAAGGAACTTCCTTAGCTCACAGCCACAGACATGCCTAATGGGCCCTCTGGCTGTTCACTCATTCGTTCATTCATTCATTCATTCATTCATCTCATTCAGCAAATATATCCAGAGTGCCCACATGTGCTGGGCCTTTTGTCAGTTGGGCAGCCCGAGATGGCTGCAATGCAGTGCCATGTCACCTGGGAGATGGCCAGAATGAGGGCGGCCAGGATGCTGGGCACCCAGCCGGGGCCCAGGAGGTAGATGATGAGCCAGGCCAGCACCTCCATGGCGAGGATGTGGCCCAGCAGGAAAGCAAAGAAGGTGGGGTTGGCCTCAAACAGCTTCATGTCCTCGGCTGCCTGGCGCAGGGCACGGAAGTCTTCAACCAGCTGGGCCTGCCATGGCAGAGTGGCCAGTCAGCTGGGGAAGCCAGACCCCCACCTTCCCCAGAGGCCTCCCATTGCTCCCCAAACCCCAGCCACTCCTCCCACTACCAGGCCCAAGGGATGTGGCCCAAGTGGCTGGAGGGGCAGGAACACCCAGCCTGGGGTGTGAGCCTGGGAAATGGCTGGTGGCAAAATCTCCTCCTCCTCCAAAAGGTGTGGGGTGGGAAAGAAGCAGAGAAAGCCAGAGCCAGGAGAGAAACCCTTAGACAGAGCTCAGTTCATCAAAATCCTCATTGTAGATGGGGTCACTGGGCCCAGCAGGGAAGGGGCTCACCTGGGGACCCACAGCAAGTGCCTAGCCAAACCAGCCCTGGAGCCCTGAACTCCTGCAGGGCATCGCCACAGCTTCATCTTCAAATGCCTGCCCAGCCCTGGCCCAGCATCCCCTTGGGGTACTGCAGAGGGAGCTGATACTGGCAATGTGCCAATGCCCCCAAAACCCTCTAGCACCCTCCCCTCGGGGGAGCTGAGCCTCTGCCAGGGCCCTTCTCACATTCTGGGGTCCATCCTGGCTGGGCTCCTCCGGGGCCAGCTCGCCAATCAGCAGGGGCTGTAGGAATTTGCGCACGAAATCCAGATCCTGGTGGAAGGCACGGAAGGCATCCTGAAGGAGAGCAGACAGTCAGGGGGACAGTCAGGGGGACAGACAGGCAGACAGAGCAGCACCCAGAGGCAGCCAGCACAGACAGGGCAGAAAGACTGCTGATATCCAGGCAGAGCAGACAAAGAGACGGACAGTCATCTCGTTGTTCAGCAGTCAAAGAAATAAGACCAAACGTGTCAGCCTTGCCTAAGAGCCTTCCCTGGTCCTCCCCTGGCCCCAGGTGCCCTGCTTGTCAACCCTTGCCTGCTGTACCCTATCTGCTTCGCCCAGCGCAGGGGGCCCTTCTGCAAACATGGCTGAGTGTGTAAAAATCTGAATTTACAGAAAGACCACCCTGGAGACTCTGATTCCTTTCATAAAAGTGTTGACCTAAAAGAAATGGAGGCCAGATACATATAGCAAGGATTTACTAAGCCAGTATGATGATTGCAACCAGGGAAACGTATAGGTCAGGTCACCCTAAGAAATGTGCCCTGAAGAGGCCAGCAGAGCTCAGTATTTTATAATCACAAGAGGGGGGAAGGATCAAAGGAGAGAGAGAGAGAGGACAGCCCTGTGTAATCACTTCATCGGGGTTTCTATTGGTGTACATAAGGTATAGATTTGGGATGGTAACTAGGTTACAGCTCACATGCAGGGATCTAGGGGAAGAGTTATAAGAGGCATCTCTGGTTATTTTATGGCTTCCTGGTGCCATTATATCCGCTTCTAAGTAATATGGTCTTATGCTAACATTTTCCAGGACAGATGGATGGTGTGACTGCTGGCTTATTCCAAATCTCCCAAGACACTATAATTTAGCCACCCTGATCAGAGCAGATTTTTTTTCTTTTTTGAGTTGGAGCCTCACCAGGGTGGCCCAACACGCCCATCCAACCCACCTTGGCCAGCCAGTCTCAGACACTCAGAAACGTGCCCACGCTCACAGCCCATGTGGCCACTCAGCCAGACGCAGCCTTGCATGTGTGGCACACATACAAATACACACAGAACATGCAAGCTGTGGCTATGGCCTCAAGATTTCCTCCCTCCCAGCCTTTCCCTTTCCATCCCCCGTGTCTGTTCTGGAGCCACCCCCTGGAGCCCAGGAGCTGAGGAGGTGGGGGGCAGGTTGGCCTCCCTGACTCCTTTTCCTTGGTCCTGATTCACCCAGGCCACCCCTGTAGAGGCACTGAGTGGGGAGGACAGAGCCAGGCCCACCCAAGGGTCTTCCAGCCAATTACAAGCGGTGGAGTGAGCCACGGAGGGGCCACAGCTGCTAAAGGAAACACCTTTGAAGAAGACTGATTGAGAACAGGGGCCTCCTTTTGTCCTCTTGCTAATGAGCCTACCAGCTTGTGTAGCCTAAAACAGAAGTGACACCTGCTGGGCACAGTAGTAACAGCTAGGACATCCCCTTTCCTGTTGCCTGCTCTCTTACTGGCCCAGGGCAGCCTGGGGACTGGGGGACTTGGGAGGGTGCAGCTTCTAGAATAACCTGGTCCCTTGGGAAGGCTGACTTGGCTCCCTGAATGTCATTATGGGAGAGGGCACTACATCACCACTGGAGATGATCCTTGAAAGAGAGGCAGCAAAACTAGGAGAAGGGGCAGAGGGGAGGCTGAGGACCTGCAGGAGGCTGCCTGGGGATCTAGGGCTGCTGTTGGCAGGGAAGCCAGGAGGTCGGCTGCTCTTGGGGTTCTGCTGACCCCTCTCATGGTGTGACTTTGAGCTAGTCTATTCTCTTCCCTGGGCAAACCAGGGGATGAGACTTCAGAGCCCTTCTGTTCTGGACTGCCCAGCTTTAACTCTTTTTTTTTAAATTGTAGTAAAATATACATAAAATTTTAACCATTTTGGGGGGTATAGTTCAGCGACATTAGGTACATTCACTGTTGTGCAACCATCACCAACATCCATCTCCAGAACTTTTTCATCTTCCCAAGTGAAAGTGCTCACTACACCCAAGAGACTCCTCCCCATCCCCTGGCAACACCAGGCTTTCTGTCTCTATGCATCTGACCACTCTAGGAACCTCATATAAAAGCAATCACACAATATTTATCCTTTTGTGCCTGGCTTGTTTTACTTCGCATAATGTCCTCCAGGTCCATCCACATTGAACATATGGCAGAAGACGCTGATTCCCTCTGATAACCCAAAAATCTGCTCTGACCTGGTCAGCTAAATTGTAATGCCTTAGGCCGGCCCGTGGCTCACTCGGGAGAGTGTGGTGCTGACACCACCAAGGCCACGGGTTCGGATCCTATATAGGGATGACCGGTTTGCTCACTGGCTGAGTGTGGTGCTGACAACACCAAGCCAAGGGTTGAGATCCCCTTACCGGTCATCTTTTTAAAAAATAAAAAAATAAAAATAAATAAATTGTAATGCCTTGAGAGATCTGGGATAACTCAGTAGTCACGTCCACCTCTCCTGGAAAACATTGTCATAAGACTCTTTTTTCTCAGAAGCACACAGGATGGCACCAGAAAGCCATAAAATAACCTAGAATGCTTCTTGGGACCCTTACCCTAGATCTCTGCATGTAGGATGTAAACTAGTGACCATCCCAAATCTATGCTTCATGTACAACCCATAGAAAACCTGATGAAGTGATTAGGCGGGGCTGTCTTCTCTCTCATTTGACCCTTCCCCCTTTCTTGTGATGATAAAGTGCTATGCTCTGCTGGCCTCCTCGGGGCACTTCTCAGGGCGACCTGACCTATGTGTTTCCCAGTTGTAATTGGCATACCGTCTCAATAAATCCTATGCTTTATATGTTTGGCCTCAGTTTCTTTCAGGTCAGCACTTTGAAACTGCCTGGCGGCACACGGAGCCCAGATGCTCACAAAGCGGCAGTGTCTTGCACACCTGCACACACCTGCAGACACGCCCATCCAACCCACCTTGGCCAGCCAGTCTCAGACACTCAGAAACGTGCCCACGCTCACAGCCCATGTGGCCACTCAGCCAGACGCAGCCTTGCATGTGTGGCACACATACAAATACACACAGAACATGCAAGCTGTGGCTATGGCCTCAAGATTTCCTCCCTCCCAGCCTTTCCCTTTCCATCCCCCGTGTCTGTTCTGGAGCCACCCCCTGGAGCCCAGGAGCTGAGGAGGTGGGGGGCAGGTTGGCCTCCCTGACTCCTTTTCCTTGGTCCTGATTCACCCAGGCCACCCCTGTAGAGGCACTGAGTGGGGAGGACAGAGCCAGGCCCACCCAAGGGTCTTCCAGCCAATTACAAGCGGTGGAGTGAGCCACCTAAGGACTGGGTCAGAAAACCCCAGAGCTTCTGGACAGGGCTCTATAGGTGAAAAGAGACGGGCAAGGCTGTGCAGGCCCTTGGGAAGCAAGCCGGGCTCCTGGGGCTGGGTGGCCTCCCCTAGGTCTGCACTTCTGTGCTGTTAGGGAGTCTCAGCAATGTGGGTCCTTGGATTCCAACAGAAACCTGATGTACCAGCAGACAGCTTTGTATGGAATACTGGCTGGGGTCACATGACCAGTCTTGTCTGGGCCTCTGCTCAAGGACCCAGGGACCAGCCAAAAGTTAAGACTCAGAGAGGTTAAGCCACTAACTCAAGGTCACACAGCTTAATGTGACTAAGGTTGGATCAGAATCTAGGTTTGACTTTGACTATAAAGCTGCTTGTGGCCACTCAGCAGTGACCCCAGGGTAGCCACTTCTGGGTGAGAGGGGAGGCAGTGGGCCTCCTAGGTGTGGTGGGGGATCCTCACCATGAGGCCGGTCATTATCCCAAGCAGCCAAATATCCAACTGCTGGAAGCCTGGGCTGTGGGGGACAGGAGGGTGGTTCTTGGGCCTCACAACGGAGTCTCAGGGCATGCAGGAGGTCCCACTCTCAGCTAGCCCTGATGTACCCAGAAGCATCCTCCCAGGGGTATGTGTGCCAAGCCCTGTGACCCCTCACCCCCACCTGAGTGAGTCAAAGGTGGCACTCGAGGTCTCTTGTTGGGTCTCGGAGCAGAGTTGGGTGAAACCGCTGCAATCAAAACAACGCCCCCAAACATCAGCTCCCAGGGCAGTGACAGGCTGTATTCATAGTGTGTCCTCAGAGGCTGGCACAGAGCCAGCACTTGGTCGTAGGTGTGAATGAGTAGGCAGGAGCCAAGCCTCCACAGCCCCTGAGGCAGGGGCATGAACCAATTTCCTGGTGAGGAAATGGAGGCTCAGAGGGTGGCAACACCTGCCCAGTTACAGAATTTGTAGTGGCAGAGCTGGGATTTGAACCTGGGTCTGTCTTGTGTGTGATGTTCCCATTCCCTCAGAATACAGCTTCAGCTCAGCCCTGCCTTGGTCCCTGCAAACCCCCGAGGGGCTCAGCTAGGTCCCCAGAGCCCCAGCCCTGCCCCCAGTCCCACGAAGCACTCTTCATATAGCAGCCAGTTGGGGAGGGGGTGTCGCTCCGGAGCCAGCCTGCCTGGGATGGAACCTGAGCCGCCACTTAGGAGCCAGGGAGCCCCAGACAAGACTGCAGCCCTCTCCACTCTGTTTTCTCATCAGTGAATAGGAACCGCAAATGCCCATTTCACGGGTTGATGGGAGGCAGGTAAAGCACTTAGGAGGGGCCTGGCGTCCAGCAAGTGCTTCCCAGCCAAGCACTTACATGAGCCGCCCTGATGTGCACCCTCCCCGAGAGTCCACTTAGTGCCTGCCAAAGGTGGGCTTGCCGGTGTGCGGCACAAGAATGAAGATGTGTCTCTGCCTGTCTCTGTCAAGTCCCGACCAAGCCTGAGGTGTTTCCCAGGACAGGTGGACGTGACTACTGACTTATCCCAGATCTCCCAGGACACTGTAATTTAGCTGACCTTGTCAGAACAGATTTTTTGGTTATAAGAAGGGAAGAGAAGGAATTCGCATCATGTTTCTTCCTTAAAAAGGAATGAAATTCTGACACATGCTGCAACATGGATAAACCTTGAGGATAGTACGCTGAGTGAAACAGGAGGGGCAGGTAATTTTTCTCCTGCCCAAGAGACACAGCATGGGAAGAAGGGTTTTTGGTTATTCCCCAAAGAATAGGGAATGTTCCAGATCAGTCAGGAAAAGGGTGGAGCAGAGAACGGAGCAGGCTGCTGGGGGCTCAGACAGTCTGGGTCCACCCTTGCTGACTCCTTACACTTTGCTGGAGATGGGGGTGGGGGAGGTATGCCTCAGAGGACACCCCCAGAAATTCCTGCCTCTTTCCCTCTCCCAGGTGGAAGGATAAAACAGGAATCCATGTCCAGCACTCAGACGCTCCTTCCCATCCTCTCCCTGGCATCTCTCATAGGAGACCACCCAAACATGAACCCTACCCTCTAAGCCCAAGGATAAAGGCCCTGCCTTCCAAGGGTCACAAGAAGGTCTTATTACTTTGTCCCATTTTCAGCCTCAGTCTCCTCATCTACAAAATGGGCTAACAATACAACCCACCTTATAAGGCTGTTAGGAGAATTAAATTAGTTACCACATCCAAACCCTCAGAACAGTGGCTGGTCAATAACTATTGGCTGCATTACTATGATGCAGCCTCTGGCAGTAGCACTGGCCACGCCCATCCAGTTTGGGTCAGGCCCCGAGGGCCACCTAGAGGGAGGGTCCTAGGGAAGGGGGCTCAGAGGTCTGTTGGATCTTGGATCATCCCACAGCTCTTAGAGCTTCAACCCAAAGGGCACCAGAGCTGGGAAACTCCTCATCCTCTCCAAGGAGCTGTGGGCAGCAGGTTCATCATCCCCATGGGTACAGGGCTTTGTTGCCCATGGTAACTGGGCACCCAGGCACCCAGCACCATCCCCATAGTGTGCCCAGGACAAAAGCAGTCTAATCCCCTTTACACTGGGGGGAGGACATGTTCAAGGTCAGAGAATGAGGCCAGACCAGCTCAATCTGTAAAGACAACACAGAGACAAATCCTAATGGCTCCCACCAGTGTGCCTGCATCCGCAACATCTCTTGCCCTCTGCCTTGGCACTTCAGGGCCCAGTTGAGTGGTTCTTCTGAGTGGCCTCTCCTAGGGGAGGACAGGTCCCATCATCCCTTCTCTTGGCCTCTACTCTTCTCCTGGGAGGCTCTGCCTTTGTCCTTTCCATTAGGAATCCTTTTAAATGTCCACCACATTCTGTTCACTTCTCTGCTCTTCCCTCCATGGCTCCCCCTCCTCTTCCTTCCAAAGACACAAACATCCAGCAAGAGCCAGCCCCGGCTGCCTCTCACCCTCGTTGCAGCCCCTCTCTCATGGCTCTCTCCTGCAGCCCCGCTGCATTCTTGGGGTACAGGAAGTACCGTCCCATCTCTGAGCCTTTGCTCTAGCAGATCCCTCTGCCATGTACTCTCTCCTGGTAGATGTTTTGTTTACAGTGACATCTCCAGAGGTTAGAATAGAGTGGCACATAGGAGATGCTCTTTGACAGATTTAATGATTCACTCATTAAAGAATGAATGAATAACTGAAAGAAACAGCTAAGTGGCCGTGTAACTGTAACATGCAGTTAAGAGCTGGCTGTGGATTCCAATCCCAGACATGCCACTTAATTTCAAGTGACTTTGCCTCTCTGAGCCTCAGTTTTTATATCCGTAAAGTGGGAGTTACAATAATAGTGCCTGCCTGATAGGGGTATCTTGAAGGCTAAAAGAGAGAATCAGTGAAGCAAGTGCCAAATCAAAACCTGGCACATAGTAGATGCTCAGTGAATGGCCTTTTATACTTATGGCCAACAGCCTCTGGGCCTTGCCCCTCCCTGGCTGGCTCTGAGAGTCTCAGGCTGCCTATGACACTTAGACAAACTTGGCCCAGGGCCTAGAGCACTCTCCCCCGGGCACACAGCTTTGTGTCCCAGGATGGCCATAGGCTGACTTCATGGCACAGGAACTCTGGGAATTTCCTGGCAGGAAGGCTCTGTTGCCTGGACATGAGAACAGCTGATAGGCAGCCGGGTGAGAGCTGGCTGCTGGAACTCAGCCCTGGCAAGATGGCTGCCTCACCCCCACCTGAGTGCCCGGGCCTGGGTGGAGCGCCTGGGGTCTGGGCTCAGGGCATAGGGCTTATCCAACTGCACAGGGCACTGGGCTGGTCCAACCCCTGGTCTGCCCTGCAGGGCCATCATAGACAAAGACTGGGTCCCCCACCCCAGCCACCTCACAGTCCCTTTGGCCTGAACAGACCAGGTATTTCTGGCAACTCCAGCCCAGTGTCTGGGGCCCTGAGGGAGCTAAGAGATGGCCTAAAGCAATCCTTTTCTATTACAGACAGGACAGGAATAAGACAAGGTCATCCAGCAAAGGGATAGCTGTGCCATGGTTTTCCCACTGCACTCTACAGTTTGCAGGGCACATTCACACTTAAGAGCCAGCAACATTTACTGAATTCAAACTACTACAGAGCAGCCCTGGGCCACGAGCTGAAGGCATGCTCTGTCCTCAGGCAGCTTCACAGACAAAGAAACTAGGCTTAGAGGAGGGACATGCGTGGCTGGACCCAGCCCCAGGAAGCACAGATTTTTTTAAAAAACAGACCTTATTGGACTTGAATCAATAAGAAAACTGTCAGGTGGAAGTCTCAGGATCTCAAACTGAATGTAAGTTAGGAATCTCATGCTGGGATGGCCTCCAGCATGGGCCTGGTAGGAAAAAGCGGTAAGAAATGCTCTCTGTGGGCCGGCCCGGTGGCGCACTGCTACAGTGCACCGCTTGGGAAGCGCGGCGGCGCTCCCGCCGAGGGTTCGGATCCCACATGCAGACCGGCCGCTCACTGGCTGAGCGAAGTGCGGGAGCAACACCGAGGGTTGTGATCCCGTTGCCGGTCCCAGTCTGGTACGGGCGCAACACTGAGGGTTGCGATCCGTTGCCGGTCACGATAAAAGACAAAAAAAGGAAAAAAAAAAAAAAAAAAAAAAAGAAATGCTCTCTGTAGTCCATCTCCTCACCCGCCCACTCCTGTCCTGCAGGTTGAAAAAGGCCAGAACAGGCATCCTTAAGACCTTTGAAGGGAGGCTGGTGCTCGGCCAGGCTGTGGGGGAGGGCTCTGGCACTCACACCCGCCACGCCCTGGCAGAGACACACACAGATGACTGACCGCACTCCTAAGTGCGTGCAGGCACCTGCACACTCACTGGCCCCACGCTGTGCTGTCCCCTTGGGCTAGCGCCCAGCTCCTCGTCACCCTTGGACACGGCTTTCTGACAGTTTTTAGAGTTTCAGGAGGCTTCTCATCCTAACCCCTCAGCTTCCTAGGGTGGAATTGGGGAAGAGAGACTATTTTTCCTAAAGGAGTCTAGCGAAGATTGCCCAACCCATGGGAGAAGGCAGTGGGCTGAGAGCAGGCGGCCGTAGCAACAGGGATGCTGACAGGTCCCAGACAGGACAGAATCTCCTCTGCTACCTAAAGTTCCACCATTACGGATTCACCCCCTCTGGTCTCAAAGACCTTCCTGGTACCCAGTGTAGTCAACTTAGAATTTTGGATGGTCAAGCATAATGCATCTTGGCCTCAACCCTTAATCTCCAGGAGGGAGGCTAAGGAAAGGGGGCTGGTAAGTCTTGTCCTAAAAAAACACTGGGATCCAGCCAGACGGCTCTGAGGGGCCAGGCCACATCCCTCCTTGTCTAGACTTGGGATGGGAATGGGAAGTCAGGGTCCCCAGGGTCCAGCCTGTTCCTGGGGTGACTGTGCTTCCCGCAGAGGCCCACCCAGCCTGGCTGGCAAAGTCCTCCCACGTGCAGCTGCCAGCCCAGGAGAGGTGAGTCACTAACAGCAGCTCCTGGGAAAGCCACAGACCTCCCGGCCCTGCCCAAGCTTTGCTGCCTAGCCCCTTGCTTCTGATGGCACATCCCTGCCCACCCCTGGGGACCCTGCCCTTGCCCCTAGCTCCCAGCAAGCACCCAGAATGAGCGACCTGGTCTGGGGAACCCAGAAGTAAGACAGGAACCTCAGAGCAGCAGGGAGGGCCCTCACCCAGGTCAGACTCTGTCCGCCATGACACACCCACCTAGGAGAGCCCCTTCCGCCCCCACAGACGCTCCACGGACAGCTCGCGGGGAAATGGCCTCCTCACCCCACATCAGGCCCCTGGCCAGTCCTTCCCAACTCTAGGTGCCCGGTGCGCGTGGCAGTCAAAAGTCAGCGGAGGGAGGAAGGATGCTAAGGCCCTGCACATGGAGCCGGACCCAGGGCCACCACCCAGGCCCTGGCGAGCGCCAGGCTCCAGCCCACCGGCGGTGGGCTTCCTTACCGTGGCGTCCTCGGCGCCGTGGTGGCCGATGAGGCGGCTGCCGCAGTGTGTGTGTGTGCACGCACGCATGTGTGTGTGTGTGTGTGTGTGACCCGCAGATGCCTTTACATGAGATGACACTGAGCAGTGGCCTCCGCCGGCCCTGGTCAGAGCCTCACGGGCGCAGGTGCCAGGAGGTGCCCACCAGGCTTGCTTGCAGCTACACGTCTCCTCCCACATCCATCCCAGACAGCACAGACTTTTCTTTGGAAACATCTAAGCAAAATACTGTTGGCGTACTTCTGTCCACCACAACCCACCTCAAACTGGATATTGAGTTGTAAAAATTATAAAGTGGGAAGTTTTCTTCTTCCTAACGGAATATATTTCCCAGAAAACAAGCGTGAGCAAACAAGGCAGAACTACTTTTTTTTTTTTGTCTTTTGTCTTTTTTTCCGTGTCTGGCAACGGGATCGCAACCCTCGGTGCTGCTCCCGCGCCTCGCTCAGCCAGTGAGCAGGAACCGGTCTGTATATGGGATCCGAACCCTCGGACAGGAGCGCCGCCGCGCTTCCCAAGCGGCGCACTATCCAGTGCGCCACCGGGCCGGCCCATGAACTACTTAATGGGAGTCTAGGCGTCCCTCGCGTCCCTCGCATTTTGACTAAGGCTGATGTGGAGCTGATCTGGAGCTTCATAGCAAGGAAAGTCTAGGACGGCTTTGCTAATGGCAGCCACTGAAGTTGTGCAGATCATTCATTTCTGGAAGGAACGTTGGCTCTTTTATTGCTGGTCAGTTTTATCAGCTTGTAGAGTGTTGGTGGTTCCACTCCAGCCGCCGGGTGTGTGCAGGAGCATGAGGCTTCCCACAATGGCCGGGGAGTCGGTGGCATGTCCTGTCCGCAGTCTCATTCTCGCCTGCGGGAGTGTGACAAGTGCTTGCGGAGGACTGAGAGACAGCACTTCAGAAGGGACAAGCCGCCAGGGAGAAGGACGGGAGGAAGGCAGGCTGGACCTGGAGGTTCTTTTCTCACAAAGAGGTGTAAACCTTGGTTGAATTTATTTGTTCCCTTCTATGGATGCTTTTAGAATTTGATACTTACGGTATGAAAACATGAAAGAAAAAGACAAATGACTATGAAAAGATTCTTTTTCCTTTTACAGGCAAGTTTCTTTCACGTCACTTTTTCTCTTCTACTGTTCCACAT